ACCCGAAAACCCGAGATTGACCCGATTTTTGACCCGAAAATTAGCAATTTTGGGTCAATTCCGGGTCATTCGTGTCGGGTCGGGTTGACCCGGACCCGAATCGGGTCAGGTTCGGGTCCAGAAACCTGACCCGTTTTTAAAAACGGGTCGGGTTCGGGTTGACCCGAACAGTGCCGGGTCAGTTTCGGGTTCGACCCGAACCCGACCCGTTGACCCGAATTGACACCCCTACCGATTCGGGTCGGGTCTACCCAACCCGACACGAATGACCTGAAGTTGATCTAAAATTGCTAGTTTTCGGGTCAAAATCGGGTCAATCTTTGATTTTCAGGTCAAAACGGGTCAATCTCAGGTTTCCGAGTCAAATAGGAGTTTTTCGTGTTAACTTCGGGTCATTTTCTGGGATCATTTTCGGGTTGCTGGGTCAACCTGAACCTGACCTGATTTTTAAAACTAGTTGATTTGTTGAACCCGAACCCAACTCGTTTTAGGTCCGGGTTGACCATAACCAGAATTTTTCTGGGTCGTGTTTCGGGTCGTGTCAAAAATTGACACCTCTAGGTAATTATAGGGATCATTTTGGCATTGTAAAGAGATAATTGACATTCAATGGTTGTGATTTTTAAATATAATACATTGGACAATGTTTATTATGATTCTAATGATAATAAAATGATTAACATTGGCAACACCCACAATAGAGAAAGAAAGAAAGTAATTAGAGCAAATATGGGTGAAATCAGGAAGAGCTTATGATGAACAACTGAATTTTTTTTTTTCTTAAAAGAATAAGCATTTTAATTATTTCGCCAATCTTCAATAAATATAATTGTCAAAATTCTAAGAAAAAAAAAACATTTTTTATATTTTTAAGTAAAATTATACATTTCACCGAAAAACTTTTTTATATTTAACCCTCGTCTTCATAGTAGAAATCTATATTTTCTCACAACAAGATAACATACTATGGCTTTGTTTGGGATGGCTTTCTTACTACTTCTTAAAGCAGCTTTATAGTATAAAAGTTTTAATTTTTGTACTTAAAAGCTACTTTAAGAAGTAGAAAGAAAGCCATCCCAAACGAAGCCTATATTTGTTGATATCTCCAATTTTATAGGATGTCTAATTTTTCATGCATTTCTTTTAAAACACAATAGATTATTTAGACTTCATTTGTGACAACTTTCGTACTGTTTTATAAAATATAATAAAGTAGTACGAAAGCTAAAAGCTATCTCAAACGAAGCCATGAAGGGTTTTTTTACTGCTTCTTAAAGCATCTTTTTAATAAAAAAAAATTATATTAAAAAACTGTTTTAAGAAGCATTAAGAAAGCCGTTCCAAACGAAGCCTTAATCTATGTGTTATAACCAAAGAAATTGATTCAAAGGAAATTGATAAAAATAAAAGAGAAAACCTAAATGATTGGCTGCAGATTCATAATAAATCTACAGATTATTTAGATTTCCTTTTAATTCCTCTGCCTGCCGTTGGTTTGTTTCCTTCACTCATAAATATGATCACCCAAAACATTCATACCTTGGTTTCCGCTTCATTTGGGACGAGTTTATTGTAATTTTTGTACGAAAATTTTAATTTAAAAAGCAATAAAAAAACCATCCCAAACAAAAGGGTGGCTTTCTTATTGCCTCTTAAAGCAGCTTTCTAGTAAAAAAATTTTATTTTTATACTAAAAAGCTACTTTAAAAAATAGTAAGAAAGCCCATCCCAAACGAAGCTGCAAGTTACCAATATAAGTATAAATATATATATATGAACTGATACTCATATGACATCATCATCAATAATCATCAAAGCATTATTGAGCAAGAAGAAGATTCCCAGTCATCAGTTAGCAGACAAAAAATGCAGATGATTCACATATCTGCCACCAAAAGAAAATCACTTTTGACAAAGTTGAGACTCAACCACCATGAATTTAAAACATCCATAAGCACTTTAAGCTCAAAAAGTTCCACATGGAAACACATAAAAATACAGAAATATTAACCCAAAGTCACACAGAAATTCTAATATGAACTCACACAATAGAAACTATATACAAATGAACAGAAACAAGAACCTCTTTCATTTCCAATCGAGCATGTCCAAAAGCCACAGCACCTCATCCTCGGAGCTGGCGGCATCGCAGAAATCGATCTCGATTCCAAACACATCCATGATATTGTCATTATTAACATCCAAGAAAAGCAAGGAAACCCACGCTCTTATTCCAGATATAAAAGGATGAGCAGGAGAAAAGTTCAGGTAGTCATAAGCTAGAGCCCTGTATGCATTACTGTCAATGTAATCAAACACAGCTCTGTTAAGAATACAAGCCATTTTATTGGTATCTCGGCGAGCGGCTAGAACGGAGACAGTGATGTGATGTCCTAAAGGAATGGTGAAGCTTGGTTCAACTTGCATTATCATCTTGTAATCCGGGTCGTCGAGATGAGCGGTGATGATTTCCGATATGTCTCGAGGTCTGTTCTTTATTCCGTTTCGAAGGTTTTGACCGGAGATCGCTTCGGAGAAGATGAGTTGCTGCTCAGACCAGAGATCAATGTAGAATTCTAAGTCTTCAAAGGATATTTGTGGTGGGAGGAGGGGTTGAGGAGGTGCAGGTTTGGAGAAGGTTTGGTAGAGCTTGTGGTAGCTTAGAGTGGGTGGAGGCCTTTTGCAGATAGAAGGCCATCTTTTGGCACAGATACATTTCCAGAAATATTCATCTTTTGCTATGTCTCTCCATTGACGAGATACTACCATGCAGGAGGTTAGATCATCACCATCCAGAAGTGGAAAAACTGCTTTGAGCACTTCACCAAATGACCGATCTCTTGTCATTCTTCAATTAATGATATGTATAAGATTCCCAGTGGCGCAACGTTAAACAAGGGGGATGAATGAATATAACCGTGTAGTTTACCTGAGAGTTAAAGGAATAGAAATTGAAGGAATTTAGCAGGTATCTTTTAAAAAAAGTTAAAAAAAGCCGACTGCTGCTTAAAGCAACTTTTTAACAGAAAAATTAATTTATTTGTACTAAAAAATAACTTTAAGAAGCAGTAAGAAGGCTGTCCCAAACGAAGCCTTTCAAAAGTAAATAAAGTAAAACGATATGAGAAAATATGATCATATAATGGTGAGAAAATGACTCCAGCATAAGACAATCTACAATAATTACAAAATTTAAAGATGAAATTATACTTTGGGATGCTTAGTTTAATGTTTTCTTTGATGTAATACTATTTTATTTATGATAAGCAGTGTTTGGATTGTTGTTATATCTCAAATTGAGGTGCGTGAATGCTGTTGTGAAAGACATTCAAGATGCAATGATCCGCAATGTTGATAGTTCAATAAAGTGTTGAGAGCCCACTGAAATCATGGATATTATGCTTAAATACATCTTTTCATTCGTCTTCTCATATAGAACTAGTTACAAATTATCCTTCAAGTGATTATGATAAAGTTTCTCTTGCTAGCGATGAGCCCTTATATATTGTGTGCATTGGTGATGATTTTTGTATAAAAAAATTGTTTTAAGAAGCAGTAAAAAAGCTATCACAAACGGAGCCTAAATGATAGCACAGGATAAATATGAGTGGAAAAGTATATATGGGCATATCTCAATCGTTTTTTAAAGCAAAGTATTATGCTCAGACTGCGAAATAATAGACTTCCTTTCTAGCCTAACATCGTTTTGCTGACAGTTGAGAGTATCATATAAATTAAAAGAAATTCTCTCATCTGATATGTGAGTTTTCTCTTGGGAACTCCACTACTAGATACAAAGAAAATCGAATATTACTTCCCATTCAACACTTCCCAGCTTCAAATGAGGGGAGAAAGTTCCAATGACTAACTACATTTGATGCACACAAACCAATACAAAAGCAACATTTTGGATGAAGTCCCCAGACAAATCTATTATAATAATAATAAAAAAAAAACATATATAATCAAAGAGAAAGTATCTGGATTCAGATACTCGCATTTCAATCAGATGAGGATAAAACAATTAGATTTTGACACTGGTTGAGATCCAGAGGAGCATCATAGCAATAAGTAGCTTCATAGGTGGCCAAAGAGAAAGTCTAACTATCTAGGCCAAAAAACTAGAAGAATCCTCATCACTCCCATAAAGCAACTGCAAAGCACCAATGTGATACAATAAAAATAATACAAATTACAGGAAAAAGAATCATAAATTCTTCATATTTATTTCATATTTATTGAAATAAACGATAGAATGAAAAGGACAAAGCGATATATAGCGACTACTCAAGAATATATATATATATATATATTACCAAATATACTTAATTCTACAAGCAACTAATGATCGTGCTGGATGATTATAAATCAATCTACAAAGAAGCAAGTCAAAATTTCAGATCAATCTCAATAGTATTGAAACTAGGCTTATTTTCATGCATTACAATATATATCCTTCTGTTTATCTATGTATGAAATATAGAATGATCAGCTACTAGTAACTTGGAGGTTCATTCATAGCTTGGCAAAGTTATGATGTCAGGATATACTGTTCTTCTCATTGAAAAGAAAAATGAAAGCAATATAAATTATTACTCCCTTTGATGGGATGCATTTGCTTCTGCAAGCTTAAAAAAATCCATATAGATAGCAGCCCAACTACAGTTCCTCATGCATTGCCTAAAATTCACATACCACAGCAGAATGTTATACCAAAAAAAAGGTAACACAATGCATAAATAAGGCTTAAAATTTGGCAATTAGATATTGAGGCATTTTTTTATTCATGATTCGAAGCTAAGCCTTGAGACATTTTGAAATGTAAGCCTCAATCAACAAATTTTGCAAAGTAAAAAGTATTGTACCAACCTTTAAGTATGAAGTAAGAAGTAGCATATTAACAAATTAACATTCTAATATAGTAAAAAGTAACAAATGAACTACATAACAAGTAACATATTAACATCCTAATATTAAATCATGAAGTAAAAAGTGTTAAACAACAATCAAAGTAAGATAACATATCAAAGCAAAAGTTAATAACATAATAATTTAAAAATAAATTTAACATAAAACATCTCACTTTCACTCTTTGTAGAGAAAGGTAACTTGGCAAAGAGGAGGACGAGGAGGCAGTGACTAGGAAGGAGACAACATGGGTGAGAAGGATCAGTAAAGAGAGTGCTTGAGAGAGTAGAGGCACTTGGGTATATCGTGCGACTAAGAGAACCGTGCGGGCGTGAGATGTGAGGGGTAAAATGAGTTTATAAAAGAAATTTATTATTTATATTTACTTATATTTGTTAAAAAAATACTAGCTCTAAATTGTGCACGCCTCAGCAAAATCAAAGTGAGGCGTGCCTCTCACATTATGTGTGACGTACGCCTCATATATACGATCGTGCCTCATGGCAAAATATCCGAAAGAGCACTGAGATGCGCCTTATATTGCACTATTTTAAACCGTCGCATAAACTATATAAAATGACCAACCAGCTATAAGTTTCCGTAACAAAAATAACAAAAGAACAATCTAAATTAAAGGTAACTAGTCAAAAAAAGTTTAAACTCTTACATCCATATTTTTACTCCCACCTCTAAAAGATGCGATAAATAGATTACAAGACTGCAATGGATCACTGCATTAGGTTGCCAACTAAAGAAAGCACCAATCAATGGCAATAACTAAGATGGAAACACACGAGTAAGAACATTTAGAAAACATGAACTATAAGATCTAGAAAGTAAAAAGCAACCAAGGATACAACAAAACAAAAAAATTTGAAGAGAAAAGAACCTCTTAGGATTTTGAAAACGGATGGAATTAAACTATAACAAAAAAATAAGTGAGTCAAAAGATGCGCTTAATTGGTGACACTTCCAAGTTCCAAACCCCCATAAAAGAACTCAAATTAAGTACATCTTTTGTAACCTCCTGTTGTCATTTGATTTCTTTCCTTACTTTCACTTCACTGTAAAGTGCTACAGAGGTGTCATCTCTATTTTTACTATTTGTTTTGCAAAACTTCTAGCCAAACTACTCTTACTCTGAGTTTTTTCCTTTTCTAGCCCTTCTTTCTTTGCCCAATTTGTTTTACAGGTATGGAAACAATTACAATATCTTCAGCAAATAGAATATCAAGTTAAGAGCAAAAAAATATAATTTATGAAAATTTCCATAATCATTATGCAGAATAAAAACCTAAGCTTATCATGACTGAAAAGGTTTTGGACACTTTGTAACAACTTAGAATGCTAGTCACAACTTAGTCACACATAATCATGCGATAATCCTTAAGTCTCTCTTTCCTCTGCACCAAAATCGCTTTAACTATAGGTTTTTTACATTAAATCAAAATAATACTCTAATTCCATCATGATCCTCCAAGCCTATGTTTCATTCTCTTCTCGTAAACATCACTGCATGGATTGGAAGTTTGATTTCCACACACTATTAATAATCTCAAATATCTACTTTGACATTTAAAACTACTATTAAAAGTTTTATTTTAATTATTTTGCATCCTCCTAATCTCTAAGATTTCATTAAAAAAGAATTGTTAAACTATTCCAATCTCTCTCATAACGCTCTAAGTTTTAAGGGGAATATCATGCACACCTAAATCTTTCTCAACTTCAATATTTAGATCCAGCGATAGAAAACTTTACGTTTCTATAAATTGCATCTCTGAACAAATTCTTTCTTAAAATTGTTATTAAATAAATTCCTCGAGTTTGAATTTTCATCTTTAACTAAGATTCCATCATCTTTTGCCTTGAAGCATCGAATTTGATAGAAGTTTCTCGATATTATTTCTCTAAAAATAACAATTATATATAATTTATTTTCTTCAACCTTAATACCTATCCTATTTTACATGAAACTACATAAGGTCTATTTGTTTGTGATGCGTATTTGTTTGTGACGCGTTTAAGTTGTAAAAAGCTGCTATCAGACAACATAAAGCATAGTGGGAAAGCTGCTTTTGAAAGCAAATTTTAGCTTAGTTTTACATAAAGCAAACATACAGTATCCGCACACATAATAAAATTATTATACATGTTTTTTAAGAAAGGCTGGTAAAAATTACAACGTTCCCTTAAGTTTAGCTTACTACTACTATCTTAGATCTCTCTTTGAAAAAAAGGAGGTCAAAAGATTTGCTCAGCCTATGAGGCAGTTTTAACAATCTAAAAACCAAATAATTGGACCATTAAGAACCAAACATGAAGATAATCATCAACCCTTAGAAATAGTTGACACAAACAAGGCCGTCATTTTATAAAGAAACAAATTCAAATTTACAAAAAGAAACTCCTAAACATCAATCAAAATCACTTGATCTCATCTGTTCGTGAAATTGAAAGTACCAATACATTCAAAGTGTCAAATTATCAAAGAAAGCACCCTTCATGCTCAACACGATCGAACACAATCAAAAGAGATGAACTACGGACTTGATATTACGCGAAATCACCCGAATGAACATTAAAATTACAAAGAAAGGACACAACATGTTTGATTCAAGTGAATGATCAGTAGGACAAATTACAGAAGCGATGATGCATGGTATTACTCGAACATCACTTGTTCACAAAACAGACTGCACCACTATGTTTGGAATATCGTAACTACTTAAAAAAATATTGCCAAGGTTCCCACACGAAGGAAACAACAAAATATTCACTCACCTGTGTGAAATAAGGACAAAATTCGATGTGCATGAGTGACAAAATTTTGGTGAATCAATGTTTAATTAAAATAAATATATATATTCATTAATAAAATTTAAAATATAATTTAAAATTATTATTTTAGTAATATAATAATAATAATAATAATAATAATAATAATATAGAAAATAAAATGGGAGTTTGAATCTTCCGATAGAAGGTACCTTCCATCATTTCACTCAACAAAAGGGTCCTTTGTTGCAATGGAAAAGATACTCTTTTATTTTAATTTATTTAAACAAAGAAAAACAAAATAAATTTACTAAATAGCTAATCCTACCCTCTCTCATTTCACTCAACAACACAACACTCCTCAACCTCCGACCCTTCTCTCATTCAAGAAAAATCGAAGAGCCGAATCCCTCTCTAAAACTCCTCTTCCTCTCTCCTCCCTATGATCGAGTACACACACCAGCATTGTCGGCCCTAGATTGACACCCCCTCAGTGCCACCTTCAACCCTGCCTCCATCTGCCCTAGAAAGCTACCGATTATCCAGCTAACCCTCCTCTCCCTCCCTCTCAATTTCGAACTTTTATTTTATCCAGTGAACGTACGCTCCTCTACGTTCGGTTTGGGCAAAAAAAGCGCGTGTACCGAGTACTG